CTATATATATATATATATATATATATATATATTAATCATGCCTGTAATACAGTTGTAAAGCCAGTGAGAGGGTTACTCCTACCTCTAAATCTCTCAGTACAGGATGTTCCTCGATGCCTGGAAAGAGGACCCTCATGGTGTAGGTCCTGTAATCCAGGAAGGGTATCCCTGCACCATCCAGATCACTGGTCAGCTCATGGATGTCAGTTTGAAGCTCTGCGAAAGCTGAAAAACCACAAACATTTCAACTTTGTTGCAGAGTTGCAAATAGAATGGATCTACATTACCAGGGGCTTTAAAATTATTAATTTAAAGTCTTTATTTTTTTGTTTCAAACCATGAAAAAATGTTTATTAAAGTAAAATAAATGCACAGTCTCTAAATTCAAGTGAACTTCTTACCCTCTTTGCACTCTAATGCCACACGTGACTCAAGGTTGTCCATCTGCATCTGCAGCCTCTTCAGTGTCAGGTCACTCTCACGAGACTTGCGCTTGTAAGCTATGAGCACCACGACGATGAAAAAGATGAGCAGAGCACCGGCTGCAGCGATGCCGATGATAGCAGTGCTGCTGAGCGGGCTGTCAGACGTGATGTGGACAACGCCTGGAGAAAATTCTATTCCACCAACACGGGCCTTGTAACAGAAAAAGTAAATAAAATAATTTTAAAAAGGCAGAGTGTAAGTATGTGGCTGCATTCTAAAAAAGCACAGTTTAAGCTAGCATGCTTAAAAATGAGAAAATGTCTACAATACATGGCATGTGTTTAATTATTACATCAGTAATGCCATTTGAAAAAAGTTTAATATTTGAGACAGAAAAAAAATATCAAACTCTTATTGAACTCAAAGCAAACCACTGCTTCAGAAATGTAGTTTTTTATTTTTAAGTCTGTAAAACATTTCAGTTTGTAAAATCCTGTTTCAAACTAAAGACAGACGCATTGATTGCAGTGTCTACATGATGCAGTTTATTTTTGCATCTACGAACTTTTTACAGTAATGTGTCCTTATCATTCTGTGATGCTGCGTGCAGGTGGTAACATCAGGATATGATTTGTTCAAAGTGGTCCCTCTCTAAACCACAAATGGAATTTTTATTGAATTTGCCTGGGCTGTAATTCTTCTTATTGAAGGCTTATTTGTTTGTCTTTTGTCTGCATGTGGGTACTAACAGGAACCACAAGGCTGATTGGATTAGAACCGCACTTTGTATTAGAGTAAACAAGGGAACAGATAAAAGGCAATACAAGGAATAGCTGTCTCAAACTTTCAATTGATTTGTAAAATCTCTCTCATCCCCACCACACGTTACTTATCCACCGTGCTTCTGTGTCTATGTTTCTGCTGCGTCACTCACCAGGACCTTGTGTCGACCAGTCAAGTTTGGGGACTCACAAAGGAGTTGGGTCTCGGACACGGTTAGCATGCAGGGTTTGTCGCCAATCAGAACTGTGTAGTTCAACTTTCCATTTCCACTATTGGTTGGTGGAAGAAAATTCCGGCCCTGCAAAGTTTAAGTTTATTCATTTTAAAGCGAGAAAATGAACATGAATCTGAAATCAGTGCAATACAGAGATTTTATCCACAACTGTACAGTGCCTGTAAAAAGTATTCGCACCCATGGATGTTTTAAATCAACCATACCACACCACTTGACTTATAACGCACTTAAGATAGGAACTAAATGGCTAACATTATAGAATACAGACAAGTTAAATTCAACTCACACCAGGGAATAAAAGTGAATTTTCAAATGAGACTTAGAAACAGTGGAGCCGGCCTGACATGCAGTGGTAAGTCATTCCACAGACTTGGACCTGCAACACAGAAAGCCGTCACCTCTGAGCTTAAAACGAGTTCCCGGAACCAATAAAAGCATCTGGTCTGCTGACCTGAGAGAGAACTGTGGGGCATATGGCTGCAGCAGATCAGTGAGATAAGAAGGGGCATAACTGTTCAGAGATTTAAAAACAATACATAATAATTTTTACAGTGAATTTGAAAGCGAACCGGAATCCAGTGAAGGGAGGCCAGAACTGGTGTAATGTGCTCTCTTTTGCCTGTACTAGTTAAAAATGAGGCTGCAGCATTTTGAACCAGTTGTTAATGTGCAATAGAGGTCTGACTGATTCCAAAAAGAAGTGCATTGTAGTAATCAAGCCTGGATGTTATGAAAACACGTATTACAGTATTTAATAAAGTAATATTATGTATGGCATGTATGGCCATGGTCAATATAAGATAGCCTTCTTTATTAAAAAAAAAATCTTCAATGTCAACGTACAATAAAAAAATCTACAAAGTCATACTAATTAAATAAGATATATAATGTAAAATAATAGTTTGCATAAACATTAAGCCCCTTTACAATTACGGTCCTAAATTCATCTCAGAAAAAAGATTACTGAAACATGTAAGTCAGGAGAGGGATACAAAAGGATTTAAGGCACATATTCATTATCAAGAAACAGAAGGAATATGAGACGTGTGTAAATCTACCAAGAGCAGGCTGTCCTCACAAACTGTGAATGTGTAAGAAATGTAAGGAGAATAATGAGAAAGTCCACCCAAAAACTTTAACTACTCTGAAGGTGTTGGTGAGATTGGAGTAATTGTGTATACAACAACTGTTGCCCTGGTTCTTCACATATCTGAGCTTTATGGGACAGCGGCAAAGAGAAAAACCCGTTTGAAGAAATTTTATAATAAACCTAGATTAGAATGTCTAGAGAGACTCCAATCCAGATTTATTGTAAGTTTTCTTCTACATATAGACCATTTATTTATGACAGCAATCAAAGCACAACACATCCCAGGTGGTGAATAGTTTTTCTAAGCACTGTACGTAAATATAATAATTTAACAATAAATTATGATGAAGTCTAACACTCAAACTTTTTTCACATGGATTTAATTAATTTACAAAGCAAATAAAAATAATTTACAGCAGGATACAGTCCTCTTATAATATTGCACTACTGTCTTATGAACAAAGTATACAAAATATTTATTGATAGTTTGAGTTAGGTATAACAAATTGTAAAAAAATGTGTATTATTAGTACAAATTTACTTACTTTTAGTATTATGGGTGAACCAGGTTTAAGCTCTAAAACTCCAGAGGAACTGAGTGGTTCAAATTCAGGGTTGGGGTAGTAAATAAAGTTGGTGGTGTTGAGAGCCATAAGAGACTGCACATCATCCAGTTTGAATCCAAATTCATCGGGTCTTTCAGGTGACTCTTGCTGCCTGGCCAGACTGATGGGTAGTTCTGGGACCTGGCACTGCATTGACGTGGGACTCAGCACCTTGCATAACTACAAGACACAAAAAAAGAATTATGTTTAGATATGAACGATAGTGATTATACAAAAGTACATTCATTTTCAAGCTCTTTTGGAGCTGCACCTCAGTGTGTATTGTAAACTTCCTAAACTACTAAGTTTTTAAATGTTCTTCTTTATGCTGAAGATGTTAGTTCTTTAAATTTATTGCAGACACAACTCTAAATTTAAAAAAAAAAATCTGCTGGAGTGCTTTTCTCTTAAAAGGAGCAATGAAAAAGGTGCAGTTAAAGAGTGAGATTATTATCACCACCATCAGGTTTTGATGTTGGAGATTCAGGAGTGATAATTGGGCCTTACCCTTCCTTCATTACCCTCCACAAAGACCCCCTCAGATTCTCCTCACTTCTTTATTCCGTTCTGTTATTCCTCCCTGTGATCTGTATCTGTCTTTTTGGCACATTCCCATCCTCTCGTCTTTCTCTGTACCATGTTCCGTCTCAGTTACAGTGTCTCATGCCTAGTTTTTGTGTCTTGAATTTTGTTCATTTAAGTCTTTACTGTGGTTTTTCATATGACATGTGAAGCAATTCATATTATTTGTTCTTTATTCCAAACTTAGTGAGTTTTAAAAGCAACAACAGATTGATGTATCACTTCAATGCCCCTCTATATCCTCCCAGTGTCTCTATTCCTCTCTGCCTGTCAGGATGCAGACAAATCAACCTGCAGCACAAGTCTCCTTCACAGACATCTTACATTTCCACAATAACCTTTGCCATGCAGTCATTCAAACTATTGCCTGTCACTATAATTGGCTCCTTGAACATCAGACTTGACAAATCCTGCAAGGTCTTCAGGACATCACTGACATGTATAATGCAATGGTGCATGTCAGGTACAGGAAGGTAACCAGGGATAAATGTAACAAAACTCCTGTCTCTTGGAGAAATGTCACTGAAACTGCTTTGAAAGTCTGTTTTTGATTCTGATTCATGCTTATTTACATCTCTACTGTTTCAAATGGCATCAGTGAGACTTGAGAAAAACTATATGTTGGCCCAGATAGTTTGAGAGACAATACTCTGCACAGGCACATGTGAACACAGATGTTAAACGGGCTGTAAGGTCATACTCGAATAGACCACGAGGATTGTATTACCACCTTTTGTTTCCCCCTTCCTTTGATGGGATCAAACACGCTTCTATAACTTTCTTTTCCTTAATGAATGAAAAGAGTCAAGTAATTTTCCAATGGGTTATTTCTGCACATTTTAGTTCAGTGTTAAAATGCTCTTTTAGCTGAAAGCATATCACATAAAATAGTTCTTGTGCTACTTTTTACTATGCACTGTAATGTTAAGCTTTTTTCCCATTAGCCAATTGGATTAAAACAAGAACTGATGAGATAAGCAACTTTTCAGAAAAACAAACAAAACAAAAACACCTGGTTTGGGTCAAAGTGTTGGTTTTGCTGCAGCTGATAAGTTTAAAAGTATCACCAAGCTTACTAAATGTAATGAAAATACATTCATATACATATATCCTTCATAAAAATGCAGTGGATTATAAAAACAGAAACAATGTAATCCACTCTACATTACTTTGGACATAAAAAAATCCATCCATCTATTTTCTTTTGCTGGTTTGTGGTCAGGTTACAATGGTAATAGGCTCAGACGGCAAACCCAAACATCCTTCTCTTCAGCGTCACTCTCCAGCTCCTCTTGGGGGATCTCCAAGAGTTTCCATTCCAGAGAAGATACATAATCCCTCTAGTGTTCTGAGCCTACCCTGTGGTCTCCTTCCAATGGAATGCGCCTGGAAAACCTCTAAAGGGAGGAAAACAAGGCATCCTTCTCAGATGCCTGAACCACCTCAGCTGACTCCTCTCGATGCGGAGGAGCAGTGACTCTACTCTGAGGCACTTCTGGATGACGAAGCTTCTCAAACAGACGTTAAAGCTGAGCCGGACCAGTTTATGGAGGAAGCTCATTTCAATAATTTATATCCAGGCTCATGTTCTTCAGCGAACAACCTATATCTTATGATCATAGGTAAGAGTTGGAACATTCAATTCAATTAAAAAAATATTTTATTAATCCCAGAGGGAAATTAAATGTTGTAGCTCATCATCCTGGTTTCATTAAAGAGTTGTTAAAGATGCTGATGGCTGTGGGCAGGAAGGATCTCTTGTCTGTCTTACAGGAAATCTGAAGAAACTGGTTGCAGAAGTTGCTCTCTCTACACAGACTGGCAAGTTTTTCATTCCTTTTGGGCAGAAGGACCAGCTGAATGTTGAGCAGAACTCCTCTATGAGTGATGGTCACTCCTCCCAGCAGCTTGTTGAGCTCCTCATCATTGAAGACAGCCAGCTGCCGGGGGACGATCCCAACCTCCTGTTGTCACAAGCTGCGTTTCCAGCCAGCTTCAGGATCTCAGCAGTCAGGCACATAGCACCGCTGCCAGATAGACGGGAATGCACCCATGGCACCTCCTTTTCAACTCACGGCACATCGGTTCAACATAGAACCATAAATCAAGTGCTTTGTCTTTCAGCTCAGTTCCATCTATGCCACCAAAGATTAGCACAATGGCTCTATTGCTCAGAGAAAGAAAACTGCATAGATGCCAGCCATTCTTTTTTGTGTTACAAAGTGACTTACGTTGAGTGTTTCATGGTGGTTGTATTTGGCTCTGATGAGTGGGGTCTGAATGATGTCCAGGTTTGTCCCTGTTACTGTTACTGGAGTGTGTCCACTGAAAAAAAAAGGGACAACATTTATATCAAAGACTATTTAGACAGATAGTGATTTCAATTACTGAATATAAAGAAGATTTATTATAGGTGTTTTAATACTGAATCAAACATAAGGAAACTTTACTTTAAGATCTTAATTTTGGGGCATTTCTTTTGTTGTTTTTTGGTTTGATAAGTCTAACACCTGATTTGCAGAGATATTTCCTTCCATGGGATTCTGCATTACCTGAGTAATAACCAGTCTTTTGTCAAATGAAGAGTTTCTACCCTCCAACATACCTGTAGATGCTCCACTCTGGCTCTATCCTGGTTATGGTGGGGTCCTCGACATATTCAAACTGCAGGTCTTTCTGGAGTTGGGCCTTATCTATACTCACAGACACAGACACATTCCCATAGCCATGCAGGGAAGCGTGGGTTCGGCAAGTAAGCCACTGGCCACCCCTCCTACAGTGACAACGGGAAAACATTAGTTAAATGTAATTTATGTTTCTTTTTAATATATATATATATTCCATGACCTCACTGCAGACAAAAGAAGAATGTTGTTAATTATTAATGTAAAATTGACTCAATAACACTATATTATAAAAACACTCTTGGCTCAAAACTCAAGTTGTTAATCCCTCTCTGTGAATCTGCTAACTTATTCTAAGAACATTTTAATTTAACATCAAATATGATAGAATGACTGAAGAAGCATAGCTAAATAAAAGGGTTATGGACTAAACTTGGAACGGCACATTAAAATTCATGTGCACCTAGATTAAACAGTAAGCATCCTTATCACCATCAACTTGAAAACTGGTAATTAAAAAAGTGCCTAAATCGTTTTCCAGTCGCACTTATTTCTGGTCCAAATGCGTTCCATCACTGTTTAAGTGAGAACTGTTGGGAATGCTAAGTGCCTGTAGTTTGACAAACATTGACTTTGACTGAGCTTTTAATTGACTCTTCAAGTACGATTGGCAGGGTCAGCTGTAGCATGTTGCTGCTAACCTCAAATAAGTGCACGGCTGGTCCTTAAACATGACTGACACGTTGCTCCCAGCATCCAAGTGACTGCCTGTTATGTTGACAATGGTTCCCCCTGAGACTGGCCCTCGGCTCGGCTTGAGGCTAGTAATGCGTGGGATCTGAGGTGGGGGAGAACATTTCATGGTTAAAGTCAGCCAGGGGACGAAAACAGGGTGTCGTAAGGAAACAATGGATAAAATGTAAGTTTATAATTCAAAAGCATCAAAAAAGCATCAAATCCCCTAGAGTCCATCTACGGACTTATTTTTGTGAAGCAAGAAAGTTAATTTGTAACAAGTAACCACATAAATTGCTTTGACAGAAGCAAGTTACACATTTTATAAAATTGAAACATCTAAGTTCTGCCAAAAAACACAATTTATTGAACGTTATTAAATAAATATACTCTAATTTGCTCAATGATCCCATTAGTACGACAGAGATTTAGGGCTACGCTAAGAAAAACAAAACTACGTTATGAGAAAAAAGTCATAAAATTACGAGAATAAAGTCATACGAGAATAAACCCGTAGTATTACGAGAACAGTAATTTTACGAGAATAAAGTCATAATATTATGAGAATAAAGTCATAATATTACGAGAAAAAAGTTGTATGAGAATAAACTTGAAATATTATGAGAATAAATTTGCATTACGAGTATAAAGTCGTAAAATTATGAGAATAAACTCGTCATACATTCTGGGTCTGCTTGCACCTGCTCTGGACAGCCTCCATTGCGAGTCACTGTGTTTATAAAGTAGCCCACAATCACTTTTGAGTCACTGTTTGTGAAATATGCCTCCATCCACATTATGTCATGACTAAATCCATCAATGCAGCCATCACTTGCAATGCCATATGGCTTCAGTTTATCATAAGAATCCATATGCCACAGTGCGTTGGGCCCCTTGCTATTGTACTGCCGACATCAACATTCATCATTTGACCGCAGTTGTAAAACTGCTTTCTCATGTCGGAGTTCTGCTAATATTACAAGTTTATTCTCATAATATTATGACTTTATTCTCGTATTGCTTCTACTTTATTCTCGTAATACTACGACTTTATTCTCGTATTATTTCGACTTTATTCTCGTAATACTACAAATTTATTCTCATAATATGTCTATTCTCGTTCATAATGTAATTTTTATTTGTTCTTAATGTGGCCCTAAAGCTCTATCGTACATTACAAACAGAGTGTATGGTGAAACTTTTTTTAATTTAAGTGCCACAGCAGAAGCTGATGGGGTTCAGTTAAGGCTGGACAAAGTTTTTTTTTTTTTTTTGGCAACTCATTTGACCTTCTTATACTCTCATCTCAGCCTGCTGTGTTGGCCATTCATACACAACATCCCACAATCCTGTTCCTGGCCCCTGGTGAGAAATAAACCTTGGCCAGTACCCAATAATAGGTAACAGTAAAAATGATACCCCAGCATAAACAAGTACATAAAAGCAACAACTGCAAATTTATTTCAGAATGTGCAAGCGTGTAAGTGACTGTGTGCAGAGTATTGAAAAAACACAGCAAGGGTGTAATGTGTATTTTTATGAGTTTGTGTCAGAAAATGGTTTTAGACCCATCAGTGTTTCTGTCTCATCTTCAGCTCATTAGTGAGTGCCAGTCTCATCTCAGCACCGATACACACATAAGAGAAATGCTGCCGAGAGGGAATGCAGCCAAATAAGCTACATATATTAACACAGTAAGTGAGAACACAGACCACCTATCCCCAAGGTGCTAAAACAAAGAGCCCTCTGCAGTAAAAACACAGAAGAAAAACTAACATTTTTCATAAAAACATGAAGCTCAACGACAAAGTATGCAAAACATTCTTAACATTTGAAACCTTATGATTACAAAAAAATGTGAACTGAACGATATGCACTCACCACAAAGTAGTAGTATTTGGAGGATTTTGCCATGAATTCAGGTCTGCATGGTCCAACCCCAACACAGACCTGTACGTTTCCTGTGTACTGGCTCATCTCTGCTCGACCCATCTCGCAAACAATCCTGGAAACACACGTTTACATCATCACAGAAATCAGAACTGAACACATGGAGATGTGTACAAAGTCAAAGTCCCATGCACTACTCAGGAAAAAGTTGGTTTAAAAGCTTATCTGACAAATATGTGAAAGCAATATTTGTGACAATATAACGAATAAACTATGTAGAAATAAAATTACTGAAAAAACACTCCCTTTATGTGAAAAGCATAAAATACATTGTTCTGCATTAACGTTCCATTTCACACACAGCCCACTTGTTAGAGAAAAAGTAAAAAGTCAATCCTTTTGTATTTGATTTCAAATTAAACGTCTGCTGAGTCAGCGTTGGCTCAGAAAGTGCTGGCCATACAACTTTCTTTTTGAGCAGAAGCTCTGTGTCTGTTGATAAGGCAGCTTTAGGCTAATTTGACAGACTGCACCTGTAAGAAGCCTGAGGTCTGAATTAAACCTGAATGTCAACTAAATCCAACCTCCAGAACTTTCCAAAGTGATTTTTAAAGGTACAAATTCATAATAATAAAAAAAAAAAATTCAGAACTCCTATTCGGATTCATAAAGTAAAAAACTAAACGTGTGCAATATTTATTGTCATAGAAGGGTAAAACGTAAGCTCAGTTTGTTAATTTCAGAACTACCAGAGTAAACTTTCAAACAGCACCATGTGATATAGTTTAGGACACTTATTTCATATTTTGTAATGAGTACCTTTAATCTGCACATACTGTCTGCACACAGCTGTTATTAGACTGTTTTGGCAAAGCATAATATGAAGCTCTAATTTGTGCTCAGATATATACCTAAAACATAAATGTCAAATATTCATACACTGCACACACTTTAGAGTCAACAGAAATTTCAACTGGACCAAAGATTTGGCCAAATTGCTTTTAGTTTAATATAAAAATGATAATGTGGTTCTCTTGTTTTACTCTACGTCTGTCTTTTGTTTTTGCATCTTTCCCACACACACCCACTCACTCTAGCTGTCAGACAGACCTGCTCTGTCAACGGCTAACAAATAAACCCAGTCTCATAGTTTTGTGCAAATTGTGTTTTCAAAGCCAAAAGTAAAAGTTCTGTGTAATTAATACAAAAATATAAATAAAATACAGTAGTTCCTCACCATGACATGACACACAGTTGGCTGATTGATGGATGAGCCACACGACCGGCATGTAATTTTTATTTAAAATAAATTATTTTAAATTATTTAGCACCTCTTGCACCTGTGTGCAGCCCAACAAGCTGCAGTAGAAGCTTCCTCCTGCAGCGTGTCATATCTCTGCTCTGCAGCGGAGAAGTGGGCGTGGCCAAGAGCACTGACAGAGAGCAGTGGAGGCAGAGAGCAGAGATGATGTCATGCTGTGCTCTTTTAGGGCGTTTAGTTTAGAAACTTTTTTTTTAGAATATTGCAAGAGTGGGGGAAGGGTTTAAAATGCCTTAATATAAATATATATAGATACTATAAAATAAACTACTTGTACTACTATTACGTTGCAGTTTTTCACTTATCGCAGGGCTCCAGGGTACAGATCCCCCATGATAAATGAGCGACTACTGTATAGGAACCACAACTAGGTCTTGTTGTTCACATGGTTTAAATATTCCTGGTTCTACAATTGTAAATGCTATTTATGGATAAAAAGGATAAAACTGCTGACTAAACATCTGGGACTCCAGAATGTCTATGAAGAGCCAGTGTCATTTAGTGTCGCCAATATTTTATAAAAAATCAGAAATAAAAAACTTGAGTATATTATTTTAAACTTACTGTTCTGCGGGGATGTAGCCCTCACGTATGGGGGTGCAGTCCACTTCAGCCACTTTGACATTACTCTGAATCTCTCTGAAGTCTAGTCCCAGGTTGACCCCACGGATGGTTACAAGGGTGCCTCCCTCTCTAGGACCCCGGAGAGGGTTTATCTGTTGAAAATAACATTTCAAATGGGCATTATTTTCCTCATATAGCCTTAATAATAAAGATAACTGAAATGCACAGTAAAAACATTGTTAATAACAGCAGGAATAAGTTTTAAATAATGCATATTAGCATATCATAAACACTTTTTTTTAATTAATTTTGCCAAATCTCTTGTCCGTTCTCTAAACTAATGTAATGAGGTAAAAAGAAAGTCATGTTTAAAAAGTAATAATGTCACACAGAGTATTGAAATATGACTAAATTGTAATATTACAGCATATACTAACTATATTTAGCCAAATTATTTTCTACATAAAATCAAAAATCAGTCATCATAAAACCTTCTAGTTATTTTGAATGATGCCAATTAATTATCGGTAGGTTAGTTATGCCACGCTTCCAGAAGAGTTTGTGTTCACAAATCATTTCCCTCTCATAAAGAAAATTACAAGTGAAACATTTTGCAGGTGACGGCAGAGAAGCGCCCAACAATAACAGCTCCGGTGACAGCTAATGGGCCAAGACTAAGGGTCAATGACCAGACATTTCTTAATTTTGTATTCAGTAAAGTCCACAACAATCTGTTACATTAGATTAACTCAAATCCTGACACTGACTGGCATGTTTGCAGTAATCAGTGTCCATCTGATTTATCTACATCACCTCTCATTGCTGATAATGTGGTTTCAACATCCATCAAGAGTTTTTAGACAAAACTACTTTCAGTCCAGCGTGTGTATGAGAGAGAGTGTAAACATCACCAGGCTGTCCAAATGAATGGATGTTACAAATGGGCACATTATAGACCATCCCTATTTGTTTCTGACAAATACACGTCCTCCAGGCTGCAGCCAGGTGTAATGGCAGTTCTCCGTTTCTCATCTCTGAGTATAGAAGGCAGCCTGACCCCCTGTTGTTTTTGCATGACAGGCAGGGACACATTTGAATATTGGGAATAAAACAAACTGCCGCAGCTCAGTTTACCAGTCAAACCAAGGAGTCGAGGGCTCAAGCCAAGTCATGTACAACACAAGACTTGAGACTGCCAAGTGGGAAATATTGTTATCAAATGGTTCAGGCTCTGATTAATAAGACTCCCTGCTGATAATCTAATGAAGAAAAAGAGCCTTTTGGGAAAAAGGCTACAATTCATCTAATTAAAAAAATTACACACAATGCTTGTGCGTCACAGTTTATTACAAAATATATTTAAAGAGGAGGCTTAAAGGGGGAGAAAGTCAAAAAGAATGGGCAAAGAACAAATAAGAGAAAATGAGGCATTGATTAGATTTGTGACTTTGACAAGATAATTGGCGATTTTGTAGAGGCAAACACTTAATCACTTCTCTCTTTCTCTTTTTATGCGAGTCAGTCTCTCGTACTGTTGATGGGAGATGTCATTATAATGAAGTGTATTAGAATGCATTAGAGCCTGGGTTGTCTTGGGAAAGTCCTCACTCCTCACCACTGACAGTTTTTATGGGGGACGATGCAATATGTTCCGCCTGAAGCCTCGGGGATGAAAGGAGAAATACAGTCGTGACTTCCAGAATAAAGCCACTGGTCCAAGTGAGGACAAACACTACAGAGAAGAATGATGGAGTGCAACTGTCTGATCTGTGCACTTTTTAAAAGGAAGAAGGTAAAGTATTACTACTGTTTCTTTTCTTTCCTTAAGAGTTATTTTGTTTTTGTTTAAATCATTATTTTAAATGAGACAGCAGGGGACATTAAAGGCCTGTTTAAAGGCATATTTTCAGGTCAGCTGGTTAACTGGATTGTTGCATAAATGAGAGTTCTAGAAAGAGAGAAACTACTGATTTGACCAAAAATACTTGTTTTTCCTTCAATTTTTCATTGATTTTTTTTTTGGAGAAAAACGATTCAATACTTATATTTGATTGGTACTGATGTGTGAATCACCAGTATGGGCAATAAACTCAGCTGTTAGTGGGTTTATCATTTCATTCAAAGAGATGTATCAAAATTCTTGTGCTGCAAAACACTGTATTTTGGAATTACCATAAAGATCTAAAACAAAAGCTGATTATCATAAGGTTACCAAAAAAATTTGTTTTTGATAAGACAGCCACACTGAAGTCCATACTCAACAAAAAGCAAAAAAAAAAAAAAAGTACAGCGGGGAAGGATTTTAAGATAACTTCTAAAAAACTCAGTGGCTCTTTATCACAGGTTGATGTGAATGAGTCCACCATGAAAAGAACATTAAATGGTAATGATGTGGCAGGGCTGCAGGACAAAATTGCTACCCGTGCACAGTTTGTTGCAGATCAGCTTTTCAAGCTATTGGAAAACAGAAATCGTGTGCTTTACATAAATGTGATTTTATTTATTTTATTTTTGGAAATAGCAAAGTACAGAAAATGCCTTTTTTTTTTTTTTTTTTTACTGTTCTGAGCTTTCATTCTATTGACAACAAAAAAATGTCCAAACAACTAATACATTTTTAGACTAACATAAAGATAAATTATCTTTTATACATTCAAGTGTTTCAAAGATGTTTATGATGTTGCTTTCAATCAATGTTTAACAGTCAGAGAGTTATGTGTGGAGAAGAGAACCCATTTGTGTCCATTCTCACTTTTTGAAGCAACTGAATCCTCCATTATATCTTTACATCTGATATTGTTTTAAATCAATTCATTCACCACTTCCTACTGATTTTTCTTTTCTTCAGAGGAAAAAAGAGGCAGGATGAACCTTTATATTTGTCAAAAAGAGAAGAAGAGAGAAATCAGGGTAAAGAGAGGCCTCCTCTAAGCCCTTCAGGCTCATGACTCTATGGCTGATCACTCAAGACATCCATCACCCCCCCATTCTTCTACGCAAACTCAACCCATCCTCCTCTCCTGTCATCAAGGCAGCTTTTCATTCATCTTTCCTTTGGGTCCTTGTATCCGTCATCTCACTGACCCAAATCACATGGCCTTTTTATACGTCTTGCACAGGTCAAGTCCATTTACCCCATGTGGTGCTTTCAGGAGCATGCAGGGTTAAGTGTTTTTTTTTCCTTCTGAACATCTGTGCAGTTGATTGATAACCTGCAAGTGTTAGAATGATTCCTCACCACTACCACCCCATCTAGATTATGTGTACTGTATGTGTGCAAGTCCGCATTTAAAAAACAATATTACTTTCAGAAAAATCAGCTTCTTTACTTGATGCATATTATCAATGGTATGTCAATATTGGAACTTTTAAAGACATGTCTTAAAGAAGAGTAAAAAAAAAAAAAACTGGACTGAAAGCTACTGACACAGCTTTTGCTTGAATGTTGAAATGATCAATGTCCACACCTTCTCAGAGATAAGTAGGTTTTACCAGTTTAAGGTGTGAATAAATTAATTAAGTCCATTAATCCTAGCATGGAGCAGTCATTCCAAGATGTATCAGAGTACTTAATGCATGGATATGTGGAAACATGAATGCTTGTGTGTACTAATGCATTTGTCTCTCTCACCTGTGTGATCCGAGGATGGGTGCATTTGCTGTTAAAACCATTGTGCTCCAGCCACTGGTTCTCAGGGAGGGGGCAGTGTTGCTTGAGGGTGCAGCGGTTCTCTCCTTTGCACCAAACGCACCCGAACAGTGGGTCTGCTTTCAGACACAACCCACAGCTTCCACGCTGGGCATCACACTTATAAAGATGGACTGTGCGGGGAAAAAGCAGAGACAATGGAAATAAGATGAGGATGAAAGATTGTGATGACAGGAGAAAAAAAAAAACCTTAGGGCAGGTCATTACAGAAATGCAAATAAATACAAGTACATTTTATTTGGAACAAATTCAGCTAAAACATGAAACACCTAGAAATAACCTCCTACCTAAATCTTATTTCTTCATTTATCATCATCTTCATACACGCCTGCTCCCTCCTCCCGTTTCACTTAGTTTCCTACAATGCTGCCTCCTGTCTCTCGTCACCCACCACACATTTAACATATAATCTCCATGGCAACAGACCAGCCATTTTCTTTTTTAATTGCCATTAGATGCGTGTGTGAAGTGCCCATCAAAAATTGCCCTGGGAGATGCCTCCCCCGCAGGCAAACAAAGGTAGGAGGTGGTTAGAAGAGTGTTCTCCATTTCAAGCTCCTTCTTCCTTCTGTGTAACTTTTGTTGCATCTTTGATTCGGCACTTACGCTCAAGGATATGTTTTGTAGACAGCGTTCGACTCAGACACATGCACACAACTACTTGACAAACTTTGCCTCACAGCACAGTGTCGTTTTAGCATATAATACACTTCAACAAAACAAAACTGCAAGCATGGCACCCCTGCCTTTGGTAAAAAAATTAAAAAGCTGGTTCTGTCAGAGAACTACAACCCCCAGCACTGGAATGTTTTCCTGTCACAGCAAGGATCGCCACTGGCCAAACAGAAGCAGCGCAGCAGCTCAATGCTGAATTCTTAAAAAGCTCAAGAGAACTGTCATGTCACAAATTTTATGATGAGCTGAGTAGTTAAGGGAAATTTTAAAAAAAGGAAAATAAATTAATTAATTAAAAAAAAAAAACCAGCTAATTATGCACCACATAAAAAAACAAAACAAGCAGGAATAGTACATCTACTTTTCTTGTAATAATAATCATTTCGATTCAGACGCCATTTAATTTTTTTTTATTTCTGAATAATAATCATTCTTCATGGTCATTTGCTTTGTTAACACTGCCATTAGGAAATCTATGCTAGTTCAGCAAAAACAAAGCCATTGATAACAGACAGATTGATTGCCAAACTCTCAGTGCAATGTTGAAAAAAAAAAGAAAAAAAAAAAAAAAAGAGTAATATTTAAGAAATTTTAAGAGAATGTCCCTTAAGGAGTTGGAACAATGATGTGTTGGACATCCAGCTGGAAAGAGAGGCTTACAAAAAGAAAGAAAACAAGGATGCGTTAAAGTTAACTACTCTTCACGGTAACATCAGGGAATGGATGCATCACCTCAGCACACCAACCCCCTGTTGCCATGGAGACAGGCTCCAAGAGCAACAATGGGGAAGCAGCAGCTTTACTGTGGACGTTTAAGTCAGTTTTAAAGAGTCTGCGTGGAGTAAATGCACAAGTAAACGGATTCAACTCTTATGTCAGTGCACATGAATTCACAAACGCTTGTGCCTGTTGGAATGCTCACCTTTGTTGTGGGCGGGGTTATCAATGCTGAAATCGCCATTCCAGATGACGGTTAGCTCAACAGGAAGACTGCTCATCTCCATCCCATCATAGAAATACTATAACCATGGCAACCATAGAAGGGAAAATACAGGACAGAGAATATGAGGGTCTTTAAACTGTAATTTATTTACACATTCAAACGCCTCTAGCATTCCAATATCACAAAAGCACCTTATCAACAGGTGACTATATACACAGGAAACACCCACACTAAGTAAAACACACACTGTAGACACCAGAGAGCATTAAAATATTATTTTCAATTTGATTCAGTAACACTAGCAGCATGGAGGGTTGGAGCTAGAATCATAATTTTCTGCTAAATTACAGTTTCCCTCCTTCACAGCTCAATCAAAGTACAATGTTTGCAATGTACTGTGATTACACACACAAATCCCACAGACATCTCAACATGTAGACACTTACACACTCAGAGTGATGAAGACAGACAGGAAGATGGGATGTTATTGTATCAACAGATCATTAGCATCAAGACCAGCATAAAGGCTTTTCATGCTTGCTGTCAACACATTATTCAGTCAGTGGATGGATCGTATTGGAAGGATGACTGTGCAGGGAAGACAAAGTCAGATTTATCTCGTCCCTTTGTACCTGCAAGAACTAAACCTCCTCAGCTGTTAGGGTGTTTGAATGTGACTGTATGTAAGAGAAATAGACTTTTATTGAACAATTTACAGAAATGTAGGAAGCCTGTATAGAGGTGAGTGAAGATGATGATGCATTAACAATACTTAGTTTTAAACACACATACAGTGGTCTTACCGATGTGTTTTGACACTGCACGGAGGAGCTGTTGAAGCGCAGGGCAGGAACTCGGTGCTCATTTCCTTGGATGGTTAGGAGACATTCATACCCTCTCTGTCCAGACTGGGGCTGGGGGAGATTCTTAGCTCGCAAAGTGATGGGCTTCACTACGTTGACTGGCACCAGTATCCTTTCTGCAGGCAGCAACTGGGGACAGCCCTGGAATATATGTATATATAAAAAAAAAAGGTGAGTCACTTTGCTCATGCATAATTTAAATTCAATTAAAATGAAATTATTCTGCACCTCTGGGTTTGAGTTTCTCAGTTTTATAGTCACTTAAAGTGCACAGTAAGAACCAAGATATTACAGTGGAAGAAACAATCAAATTAGGATTCTAGAGGGGGAAATTGGGATAAAGTTTAATTTTACAAAGTTCAAATGTACATAAACACAGAAAGAATAGGAGTCAGATACTAAATAATGAAAAATTTTAGCTGATGACATATTTTTAAGCAATATCTGCAGCCGGTTTTAAAATCCCCGTAAAACTATTTCAGATTGAAGTGTTATTGTAGATTTACCTTTGTGTGTACTGAAAACATATCTTTTAACAAATTACAAACATATTCCAAGTCAAAGGCTGTTGTGTGCATAAATGTTATGACACAAAAACTAAAATAACGGCTTTCTGCATGACAAACTAAAAGCTGGTACACACACTACCAATTCACAGATGTCAACATTCTCATGGTTTAATCAGTGACAGGAAAGCCTAGTACTTCACAAACAATTGATTTTAATGAGGTAACCTCTTAACCGTGTACTGTTTTTAGTCAGTGCTTGATCTGTGAGAGTTCCTGTTGGGATAAGATGGATCTCTTACAGTCAATACCTGTTCACGTTCAATGAGTAAAGGGCCAGTTCAGTAGGTACTCCACTGTCATTACCTTTAGAAGGGGATGATCACATGCCACAATGAACAGGCCACTTGTTTGGAAATTATCCGATTTTCTATTTGTATATCGGAAAGTGTTTTTTTATGTTCTAGTTTTTAAATGGAAAATACATTCCTTACCCAAATCTAGGGTCTATAAACAAGCACAGAATAGAAGTTAAAAAAACTGAATGACAAAAGAAAGGAGAGAAAGAGAGTGAGCCACAAATCGATAAAAGACTTAAATTAAATTTGGATGCAAGTACTGTAGTGCTTAAATATAGAGTAAAGATGATTTAGTTGGTTTAGTTCAGTGCTGCACTTCATTTAGACCTGTCTAAAGCTTTTGATACTGTGGACCATGACATCTTATGCCATAAACTCTCAGACAATGGTTTCTCAGATCGTGCTATCGGTTGGTTTTCTAATTACCTCTCAGATCGAAGGCAATGTGTTCAACATAACGGTACTTCTTCCAGCTATTTAACTGACAACAATGATGTACCGCAAGGCTCAGTCTTAGGACACACCTTCTTCACAATCTACATAAGTAATGTAGGTCAGATTATCCCTGATGCATCCTTACATTTCTATGCCGACGACACGGTTGTTTATTGTTGAGCTAAATCAGTTGCTAAGGTTTTTTTTTCCAGCTTTTACAGTCTGCATTTGACATCATCCAGTCAGATTTGTTCCATCTCAAACTGGTACTAAATGCTGATAAAACCAAAGGGATGTTGTTTTCAAACAGGAAGTCAGTGCCAGCAGTCCTTCCTTCTATTTTATCTACAAATGGTGTTTCTATTGAGTTTGTCGATTCTTACAAATCCTTGGGAATCTTGGTCGATGCACATCTCTCTTTTAAGCCTCATGTTGAAAACTTAGTAAATAAATTGAACGTAAAATTGGGTTTCTTTTTCAGAAATTGATCTTGTCTAACTCTGAACGTTAGGAAACGCCTTTTAACTGTTACATTCCTTTCGTCCGTTGACTATGGTGACATTATTTACACGAATGCTCCTGCAAGCACCCTGCAGATGTTGCACCATGGTAGACAGGGTGCACCAAGATTCATAACTGGCTGTAACTACCATTCTCATCACTGTAATCTGTATTCATTAGTCAACTGGTCCTCATTAACTTCACACATGGACTCTCACACTGGTACATTTTTGTTTTAATACTGATGATTATGGCATACAGCTCATGAAAACCCAAAATGCCTGTCCCAAAAAATTAGCATTTCATGAAAAGGTTCTCCAAACAAGCTATTAACCTAACCATCTGAATCAACGACGTAACTCTAAACACCTGCAAAAGATTCCTGAGGCTTTTAAAAACTCCCAGCCTTGTTCATTACTCAAAACCGCAATGGGTAAGACTGCCGACCTGACTGCTGTCCAGAAGGCCATCATTGACACCCTCAAGCAAGAGGGAAAGACACAAAGAAATTGCTGAACGAACAGGCTGTTCCCAGAGTGCTGTATCAAGGCACCTCAGTGGGAAGTCTGTGGGAAGGGAAAAGTGTAGCAGAAAACGCTGCACAACGAGAAGAGGTGACCGGACCCTGAGGAGGATTGTGGAGAAGGGCCGATTCCAGACCTTGGGGGACCTGCGGAAGCAGTGGACTGAGTCTGGAGTAGAAACATCCAGAGCCACCGTGCACAGGCGTATGCAGGAAATGGGCTACAGGTGCCACATTCCCCAGGTCAAGCCACTTTTGAACCAGAAACAGTGGCAGAAGCGCCTGACCTGGGCTACAGAGAAGCAGCACTGGACTGTTGCTCAGTGGTCCAAAGTACTTTTTTCGGATGAAAGCAAATTTTGCATGTCATTCAGAAATCAAGGTGCCAGAGTCTGGGGGAAGACTGGGGAGAAGGAAATGCACCCACAGTCAGTGATGGTCTGGGGTGCCATGCCAGCTGCTGGTGTTGGTCCACTGTGTTTTATCAAGGGCAGGGTCAATGCAGCTAGCTATCAGGAGATTTTGGAGCACTTCATGCTTCCATCTGCTGAAAAGCTTTATGGAGATGAAGATTTCATTTTTCAGCACGACCTGGCACCTGCTCACAGTGCCAAAACCACTGGTAAATGGTTTACTGACCATGGTATTACTGTGCTCAATTGGCCTGCCAACTCTACTGACCTGAACCCCATAGAGAACCTGTGGGATATTGTGAAGAGAAAGTTAAGAGACGCAAGACCCAACACTCTGGATGAGCTTAAGGCCGCTATCGAAGCATCCTGGGCCTCCATAACACCTCAGCAGTGCCACAGGCTGATTGCCTTCATGCCATGCCACATTGAAGCAGTCATTCATGCAAAAGGATTCCCAACCAAGTATTGAGTGCATAACTGAACATGATTATTTGAAGGTTGGCGTTTTTTGTATTAAAAACACTTGTCTTTCATTGGTGGGATGAAATATGCTAATTTTTTGGGACAGACATTTTGGGTTTTCATGAGCTGTATGCCATAATCATCAGTATTAAAACAATTAAAGACCTGAAATATTTCAGTTGGTGTGCAATGAATCTGAAATATATGAAAGTTTCATTTGTATCATTACATTATGGAAAATAATTACCTTTATCACAATATGCTAATTTTTTGAGAAGGACCTGTATCTCCTCCTACATGTCACTTCGTCAGTGCAGCTACAGTGTGCGCGCTCAAGACATCATTACCTGCAGTGACTCCTCAGTGCGGACTGAATTTGGAAAAAGGACCTTCACTTCTGTAACACCTTGCAAGAAGCTCTGAAGCTCTTGACTTTGACCTCCGTAAGGGATTTAAAACTACTGTTAAGTTCAATGCAAAAATCAATGCAGACATGTTTCTGTTTTTAGTATTTTACACCATTTTATAATGTAGCATGTTTTTTTTATTTTGTTTTATATCACTTGTTCCATTTACTTTTCACTTTATATGCTTTTATATGAATGTTTATTGCAGTGTACCTCATCTGTGTTTTTTGTTTAACACAGATCTCTCTTGTAGATGAGTCCTCGTGATTCAATGAGACTAACCAGTATAAATTAAGGTTGAATGAATGATGATGATGAATGATGAAAGAGAACAGGTGAAAAAAAGCCAGATAATAAAAGGACAGTAAGAGACATCCATAACCACTGTGAAACAGACTGACAGACAACAGTTAAAGGTGAAGACGGCGACAAAGCAGAGCAAGGACAGTAAACAAAGAACAGTGCTTTTTCCTGAGCACTTTGCAAAGTGTTTCATGTTTTTGCCAAAATGAGGTAGATAGGACGAGACAGCTAAGCAGGCAAAATGAAAGACAGGTACGGTACTACAAAAGAACAGAGTAACGGAAAGAGGCAAAAACACTATTAAGAATATGTGACGGGGAAGCTTTAGTGTGTCAAAGAGAGAAGTGAGGGTGAAAAGAAAGAGCAGATAAGAGGAGCCCCCTCATGGATATAGCAGGGTAGAAGAGAGTGAGGAGGGTTGAAGCATAGCGCACATTGAACTGTGCGATAACACTTGTTTGAAGTTCATTAAAAGCCACTTGATTGGGGATGCTGAGTGAATGACTGACTAGTGAGTGACTTAATATTGTGGAGTGAGAGAAAGAGAGAGAACGAGAGAGGGGGGAGTGCTCTGTGACACTATTCACAAAGTCATTATAGATAAATGACACACAGAGGGAGTGAGTTCAGTGGTGGAGGAGAGGAAGGTGGCGGTGCAGGCGTGCATGTTTGCTCTTCCATATCTCATTTTCCTAAGAATCAGGGTCATATTTGGAAAACAAAAATGAGCAGAAGAGCAAAGAGAAATGGAATTCATTTTTAATCACGTCTCTTCCAGTTAATACATTTGAACAATGGGGGCGATAAATCTGATCTGGTTTGTGAAAATGAAGCCATATGAAGCACTGGAGTCTGGCTCAACACAGCAACGAAGTCAAATCTTCAAGACAGATCTACACTGACGGTGGCATAAGGTGTGGTGACAACAATCTATACACATTAGGTACTTCAGTAAGGTGTGGGTGTGTTAGGGTCAAAGATCTGGTTAGAAATGTTCAAGCACACAACTATATTAATTTTAAACGTGTTAAAATAACAATTGTAATAATTGTGCATTCAAACTGTTTTCCATCGTTCTAGTGATCAGTAGTTGCAAGTGTGACAAAATATGAATTCATGCTGCTGCAAAGTACAGATATTTCTTAGTACTTTTCCATTAAAAAAGAAAAAAAAATACACAAAAAGTCACAAAAATATCATGGAATTGAAAAAAAATAATTATAAACTAATGA